ACTTGGCAGCGTCCTCCATAGAAGATGGTGCCCAGACCCGGACCCAGTACTGCAGGTGTGGTCTGACCAGGGCAGTGGACAGCAGGACTGTTGTGACCCATGTCTCAGTACAACCTTAAATCAGATTAGCTGCTGATCCCAACCATTGGCTTATACGGAATTCTCAGTCCATTAAAATCTTCAGGTCTCTTTCCAGACTTCTGATATCAGAGTCCTCCACAAGTGAATTCTAACCTAACTTGGAGACCATCAAGGTATAGTGGATGGGGAACTGGACTTGGACCTAGAAAACCCCAAGGCCAAGCCTCGCCTCTAGTCTTCTTGACTATGGGACTCTGGGCATATCACTCAAGCTCTCAACGCAGCCAGGCAGCGCTCCAAGGCATAAACCTCAGAGAGGGTACTGAGCTGCATTGCTATAGGGAGTTTTCTCATCTGGGAGTTCCTTAGACAAATCAAACCACACATCTGGTCCTTATCCCTATCCCTACCCCTTCATGTACAATTCATAACACTCCAGCCAAAATAAACTGTTCCCTATTCCAAGGACACCTCCTTCACCTTCCTACCATGTGCCTTTGCTTACATAAGAATAACAATGGCTAGCATTTATTTAGCGCTCTAAGGTTTGCAAAATGCTTCATATGTGTTACCTCATTTGATCCTTACAACACTCCTGCTTGGCGGGAGTTTTTAGTATTCCCATTTTACAAATGTGGAAACAGACTCAGAGGGGTTAACCAAATTGCCCAAGGTCACAGCGTGTAAGTGTCCAAGGCGGGATTTGAACTCAGGTCTTCTTGACTCCAAGTCTGTCACTATGTCACATAACTACAACTAACATGGTAGCTTATGCCTTTTGCCACCCCTATCAATTTCAATTTTTTTTTCAGTAGTGCCCAACTCTGTGTCATCCCCTTTGGTGTTTTCTTTGCAAAGATACTGGAGTGGTTTGCCATTTCCTTTTCCAGATCATTTGACAGATGAGGAAACTGAGGCAAACAGAATTAAGTGACTTGCCCAGGGTCACACAGCTAGGAAGTGTCTGAGGACAGATTTGAACTCAGGAGGATGAGTCTTCCTGACTCCAGGCCCAGAGCTCTGTCCACTGTGCCACCTAGCTGCCTCTCAGCAAGTCACTTAACCCTGTTTGCCTCAATTTCCTTATCTGTAAATTTGTATTTACCTTACATATGGTTGACATTCTCATCCTTTATACATAATCTCCTTAAGAGGAAGGATTGTTCCATGCTTTGTACTTAAATCCATAGTGCCTGGAACATAGTAGGTACTTAATAAATGCTTGCTGATTGCTTGCTTATGTATCTAGAGGCAGTGTGGAATAGTGGTTAGAGAGTTAGTCTCAAAGTTAGGAAAACCCAGGATGAAGTCTCACCGTTCATATGTACTGGTTGTATGGTCCTGGCCAGCTCGCCTAACCTCAAAATTCTTCAGACAACCTCCTTAAAGTCTAGAAATTGCCACCATGGGCCAATTAGCAACAGGAGAGGAAATTCCTTCACCAAGAGTTTCCTATGCAAATGAAATCACAAGTTCAGCTCATAAATATATATGGTATTTTCCTCTTGTAGAATGTAAGCCCCTTGTGGGCAGGGGCTGTTTCTTTCCTGTGTATGTGTCTTTCTATCCTCCAGTGCTTGGCATATCGAAGGCACTTAATAAACCCTTCTCAAAGTGATTGAAATCATAGCTTTTGCATCTGATGAACCTGAAAATAAGTGAATGAGAAAGGCCTGTTTAATCAGGTGTGGAGTTAAGAGTTGCCTATAGTCAAAGCAGCAATAAATACAGCCCCTATTTTCATGCAAACAACTCATAACAAAAGTGAGGGCTGCACACCAGAAGATTTGTGCTGGAGAAGAAGAATGGTTTCTAAATAGGCAGCACTTCCCAAGCTCTCAATTTCAGCACCAGTATAGTATTTAACCACATTGTACTCCATGGAGACCATTAAAACCTCTTTGCGCTTGCTATCAGAAAGAGATTTTAGAAGCATCCAACTCCAAGCAATTAATTGAAATCTGAATCACAGATTTGGTGTCTTTTAAATAGCATGTGCATGGTGAATTCTTTAGAATGATGACGATGATGCCCTAAATCTGATTGCAGCCAGATAATTTAGTTATGAATATTGAACAGAGATGCTAAGTTTTCTTGGGCCAGTCTGTAAATATCCCTAAAATTATCAGTAAGCTTTAAGGACTGAAAAACCTAAAGTATTCAGGTCACTCTTTCTAATTCCAGACAGGTCCTTATTTTCATGAGTATTATCAATTAGTCATGGCATTTAGTTTTGCTATATGTATATATATTTTGCTATACCTCTGTGTTTTTTGGTTGGGATCTATGATTTCATTGGCACGGGGGACTTTTGGTGGAGAAACTCCCTTTAGCAATGCAGATCAGAAGCTGCTCTTCCAATGATAATGAGAATAGTCAACATTTATATAATGATTTAAGGTCAGCAAGGCACCTTACAGACATTTCCTCATTTGTTCAAAGGCTCAGAGATGGGGAGCTCCTGAGTCTCTGGATCTCTGGCCCTGGAAGACACATCCTTCCCTTCGTTCCTGCCCCCATTGGTGAGTTTTTCTGGTAGCCTTCATTTTCAGTAGGTGCCCAGGTTAGCTCTGCTTCTGACTCTCCAGATTTCTCCTAAATGCCCCTATGCTGGTTCCTTCTCTACTCCCCCACCCCACTTTTTAACCTCTGTTTTATGACTTGTTTTCCCCATTAGAATATAAACTCCCTGAGGGCAGGGGCTGTCTTATTGCTTTATGTTTGTATCTTTAGTTCTTAGGCGTAGTACCTCGCACACTTACTATAAATGCTCTATTTAGAGCTGGGATGGACCCATGAAGTCTAACTCTTTCAATTTAAAGATGAGAAAACTGAGGCCCAAGTAAATGGCTGAGGCAGGATTCAAATCCAGGTCATAAAGATTCCAAGTTCAGCATTCCATCCATGATACCAGAGGGGTCAAAAACATTCTCGAATGTTGCTGAACTAGATTAAAATATAATTTTTGTTAGTCATTTTCGGTTGTATTTGACTCTTTGGGACTCTATTTGGGGTTTTCTTGGCAAAGATACTGCAATGGTTTGCCATTTCCTTCTCCGGCTCATTTTCCTGTTGAGGAAACTGAGGCAAACAGGGTAAAGTGACTTGCCCAGGATCACAAAGCTAGTGTCTGAGGCTGGATTTGAACTTAGGAAGAGGAGACTTCCTGACTCCATGCCTGGCACTCTAACCACTGTGCCACCAACTGTCCTGACACTATTAAGTGACTTGCCCAAGGTCACACAGAGAGTAAAATATTTAACAGAATAAATAAAAATACAGTAAAACACGGATAGTATTACATTTTAAAACTAAGTCAATGTACAGCTAGTAGGGATCCTTCTGTAAATATTAGTGACCCATTTTTTCTATGTGAATTTGCCACCACTGAACTATATCTCTCCTTTGAGTACTGCTTGGGGGCATTGAGAAGTTCTGACTTACCCAGGGTTATGCAGCCAGTTTGTATCAAAGGTAGGACTTGAACCCAGCTCTTCCTGACTCCCAGGCTGGCTGTCTACCCACTCTGCCTAGCTATATACTTAGAATCATACAATTCAATTCAGTTAAACCTAAGAAGCATTTTGTAAGCATCTACCACATGCTCACAGAGATAAATAGGAACTGGTCCCTGCCTTCAAGAAGCTTATATTCCACTTGAGGAAAAATAACGTGTGCGAAGGATCAGTAAATACAAAATTAGGGCTGGAAGAGACCTCAGGCATCATCTACTTCCAAATTTTAGAGAGAAAAGGAAAGTGAGGCCCAGTGACTTGTACCAAGTCACCCAGCTAGAGAGGGGCTGAGCTGAGACTAAATCTCAGCTATCAAAATACCTCTGGTCCAGGGCTCTTTCCATCACAGTCACAGCACCTGGTAAAGAAGATATTTCTGGAAGTTTTGGCCTATACTTCTCTCAGTGAAAAAGCTCTTCTGTTAAGAAAGCTAGAATACAGCTGGGCTCATAACAGGGCGCCTCTCTGATTCAGGTTCCCTAGATCTTTCTGCTATAGGATGAAACACAAGAGTAAAGCAGTCACATCACACGTAAGGGCAAGGACCTGGGTTCAAATCCTAAATCTGCTACTTGTTACCTCTGTGACTTTGGCAAATCCCTTTCCCCCTTCTGAGCCTCAGTTTCCTTATCTATAAAATGAGGGGGTTGGTTTAGATGGTCCCTTCCAGATTGAAGTCAGACTCATGCAGCTTGTTTACACATGTGTAATTCATTCCAAATTGGTTCTGACCAATAGGAGCTTGTGGGGAGAAAAAGGGGCTTCTCAAATTGGGTCATATTCATAGTCTTATAGGTCTACAGCTGGTCTGGACCTCAGAAGCCCTGGAGTTCAACCCCCTCATTTTACAGATGAGAAAACTGAGTCCCATGCAGGTTAAGTGACTTACCTAAGGTCACATGGGTAACAAGCATCAGGTGGGATTTGAACCACCTCCTCTGGCTTCAGAACCAGTGCACATTACACTGTACTCTTGTAACGTATAATCTAAGACCATAGACCTAGGATTGGGAAGAAGCACAGAGACCATCTAGGCCAACCCCCTCATTTTACAGTTAAGGAAACTGAGGTCTAGAGGGGGGAAAAGAGTTGCCTAAGGTCACAAAGGTAGTAAGTTGCATATTTGGGATTTGAACCCAGGTCCTCTGACTCCAAACCCAGGGCTCTTCCTACTGTACCATGAATGGCTAGACCTTCTTCTTAAGAAGTTCTGAGTCTAGGAACAAATATAAAGAAGCTCTCAGACCAACCTGAGAAAGGACTTAAGTAGGAATGGATGGCCCCAAATGCCCAGTGCCATTTTAGCACCTGGACAGCTGAAGGAAACTCCAATTTCAGAAGTTTTAACTTGCTATGTGAGCATTTACTATTTTGGTTTCTATACAGAATGGAGGGGTGACTTACCCTCATTTTGGCACATGCATCTTGTGTTGATTCTGTCCCTCGGAGCTCTTTAATCAGCATAGAACCTAAATACTGCAAGAAAGCAAAAATTCCGTTCTCTAGGATTGTCTAATAGTGTGAAAGGCAACCAGTCAAGCAACCAACTGAAAAAGCATTAAATGAGAACCTACTATGTGCAGGGGAGGATTATCTAATAGTATGAAAGGCAACCAGTCAAAGGCAAACCAACTGAAAAAGCATTAAAAGAGAACCTACTATGTGCGGGGGAGATAAAGATGAAATCGACCCAGTTCCTGCCCTCCAGGAGCTTACAGTCAACTGGGATTTATCCACAGATAAGGGAAGAAATACAAGATATTTAAAATCAAAGGAACGGGTCTAGAGCTGGGAGGGATTGCTGAGTCCATTCCATCTAGTCTACCCTCCCTCCTACAGTTTGCCAATGAAGAAATGAAAGCCCAGGAAGGTTGCCACTTGTCTAAAATCATATAGGTAGTGTCACAATCACACAAAGGGCTGGGTGTGGCACAGAGGGAAATCCTCTTGAAAGAGGTGACCAGAGTGGAGCCTTATGGGGTTCCAGAAAGAAAACAGACATTTTCCCAGTCGTTCTCTGGCCTGATACTTGTTCTCCAAAAAACCCCAACCCAAAACAAAACTACAATATTCACTTGGTATCATCTAACAAAAATCACATTGAATTGCAAAATGGAGCATCTAAAAATGTGCTTCCCCCTTTTTGTGACGCAGCAATGTCTGCAAAAACAAATAATCCCAGCGTTCTCCCTGTAATTGCAGGGCTGTATGTACCCTACAGCTAAGAGACCAAGTAATGCACAGCCCGTTGGGTGATTCAGTTGCCTAGGCAATTATACTAGGCAAACACTGTTCTTTGGGGGGAAAGGGGCCCTTTTCATTCACAGCTGCATGCATTGTGGCTCACCCACCTGAACAGGGGTGAGGATGGGGAAACTGGGCTCCCTGGGGTTTAAGGGCAGAGAAAACCAAAATGAGGCAGTTAAACCTAATTCCTCCTCTGGAAACTTTGGCACTGTACACAATGAATGGGGCAGGAAGGAGAAACAGACTAGGAAATGATCAATTACTTTTAGAGGATTGTGCCCAGGAAGAATCCTGACTCTGGAATCAGAGGGCCTGGGTTCAAATCCTTCCTCCACTTCTTATTACCTGTGACACTTTGTCCAAATCACTTGACACTTCTGGGCCTCAGTTTCTTTATTCATAAAACGAGGGCGATGGACTATCCTCTGAGTTCCTTTGTTTCTCTAGAGCTAGGATCCTTTTGGAATGAAGTCATGAGGCTACTGGGTCACAGATTTAGAGCTGGAAGGGAACTCGGAGTTCATCTGGTCTAATTCGCTCATTTTCTAGAAGTGGAAACTGAGGCACAGGTTGGCGAAGTGATTTTCCTGAGCTCTGACACATCAGAGACTGGGTTTGAACTTGGGTCTTCTGACTCCAATTTCAGCACTCTTTCCACTGGACTATATCCCATTCAAAAACGTTTTGGATGGAGTAGAGCACATTCATCTTAATCACATACCCATTTGATCGAACCAACATATAGGATCATAAATATAGATCTGGAAGGTATCTAAGAAGCCATCTAGGCTAATCTCCTCTTTTTATAGATGAAGAAATGGAAGCTCAAAGTCACACTGGCAGTGAACATCCCAAGAGGGGATTTGAACCCAGGTCCTGCTAATAAGGCTACTAATGGCGGCACTGGGATGTACCAGTGGATGCATCTCCATGACACATGCCATTGGAACCATCCTGGAGTTTCAAGATAGCTTTATGCTGGGACTATGCATCATAGGGGAGGAAATGGTCTAAGAGATGCCAGAATCTCCATCAGGAATATTTGAATCCAAATGGAATTAAGGGAGAGCTGGCCAAGGCAAACCTTTATCTTTTAGGTTAAGTGGGAAGTTTTCCCTAATTAAGCCAGGGAGGTAAGCTGCAGAGGACTCAGCTACAACTTGTACTGTAGTCATAGAAACCACCAGATGCCTCAATGCCTGCCATCACTTTTGAAATTTACCTGTATATGTGACTCATAATCTTCTGCTGAATATAACTAATTCCCCAGCCCCACAAAATAATAATGATGATGATAATAATAATAATAATAGTAATCAGAATGTTGTAATAAGGAAGGTATATGCTGAGACTAATAGCCTCCAAATTTTAAGGTAACTGATGGATTTGGGTAGACATGACCTAGTTAGGCTCCTATTGGTGTCAGTAAGGAATCCCCCCTGAAGTGGTTGCATAATCAACACTCCATATTTCTATTAGGCTGAACCAATGACTGTACCTTACACAGTAACAACTTTGAATAGTACAAATTTGAAGAAATGCAGTCACTCCAGGGGATTCATTAGTTTCACTAATTAGGAACTAGCTGCATTTTCTTTTTTCCCCCATCTTGCCAAATCCTCAGAAGGTAGCACTTTATTTTAAGAACTCAGTGAGGAGGCAAAGGAATACTGTGGACTTTGGTGATTAAATGCTTTAACTATGCAATCTTAGCATGGCGATTCTTTTCTGGAAAAGACTTTTCTAGGAAGGGATGAAGAAAGGAGGAAGGGGAGAGAGAAAGGATGGAATAAGGAGGGATGGAGGAAGGTAAGAATTGCGGAGGGAGAGAAAAAGAGAAAGCATCTGGAAGGTAGGTGAAAGGGAGACTAAGGAAGGAAGGGGAGATTTTGGAGATAAGCATTGTTGGACTTTAGATTAAAAAAATAAATAAAACTCAACTCAGATCTTTCCCCAGAGAACATGCAGTATTGATTACTTAACTATGGAACGTAGCGTGACTTACAAAAGCCTTATAGTCACATGACTGGAAGATGAGTTTCTCTGGGTGATGCTGCCAGTACTGGACAGGTGTTGATGCTGTGGCTTCATTAGGCGGTCTCAAAGTAATGGAGGGCTCTCCCCAGTCTCCTGTCTGAAAATCACATTTATTCTCAAGGTAATATAAGCAGTAGGCAATGTCATGATGCTTCTTCACTGTCTATAGCTTCAGCTCTTTTTGTCCATGCACTACATACATGCATACTGTGGTGGTGTGTAGGCATACAAATTCTATGTTGTAAATCTACCGCATATCTGTGACTAACATTCCATGTTCCCAATGTTTCATTAACTTTGAAGTGCAAGTGGCAATGTGAATTGTTCTAGCTGTAGAATATAAAACGGAAAGCTTTGAAATAAAGTTTCAAAATCTGATCATTTAAGTAATTAAGAAACTAAAACATTTAAACAGAAAATGAAGACATACAGAGATGATAAACTAAGTCTACCAACAGAAAAAAAAAAAAGAAATTTCGTGTTGGAAAGCGTTTTCTAGTTGAATATATCATAAAATTTATTTCACAATGTGTTTACATCCAGGATGTTTCTGTTCCATAATCGTCAAGCCCCTTGTTTGACACTGGCTGCCAATCATTTGACATCTCTGGAGGCAAGGTGTTGCTTAAGTCAAGTAACTAAACAAATTCTAAAAGAGAAGTGATGTTAAATGGTGACAGCTAACATCCCACCTCTGAATCCAACTCCATTAAAGTCATAACCCTTTTGCTGCTCTCTTGATAGGCATAATTGCTTTCCCTTAGAAGACCTTAAAGTACAAATAACATTTAAAATGTCAAAGGCTGCATTTGGCCCACTTAAGCATATACCTGCGTGTGAGAAACTGAATTGGTAATTACAAGCATTGGCTCTCTCTTGATATTTCCAGTGTAGATGCTTACCCACCCCCTCCCGCCTACTCCCAAGCACACGTGCATTCCATCACTGCATCACCATTCTCTTCTGTGCATTTACCTGTTACCGTAATTGACCAGTGAAATAATCTGCAAATTCAAAGGCCCATGTGGGTGTTTCTTCTCGAGTGTGTCTCTGTGGGTGGGCAGCAATAGAATTCCTGCAGATAATTGTACATTCTTCCCTGGTGGAGATGTTGCCCATTTTGTCTTTTATCTATCTATTTATTTATTCTTTTCTGTTCAGATGGGTATAACTAAGACTAGATCTTTAGAGTAAGACTAGGAAACCCTAGCTTTTTAAACAAAATAAGACTGGATGTGAGTTAGATTCTGGAATCTGATTTTCTCCTTCCCCCAATAATAGGGGAAAAAATCCTGACTTTCTAGGAGATAAAGGCAAAAAGCCCTTGGGAAGGCAGTTGAGAGTGTAAGACCCTACTACAATCGCTGAAAATAAAGCTTTAGTGAGGGATTAACTGGAGAGGGGCAAATTAGAGAAACAAGATGATCCCCCAGGACAAAGGCCTGGCAGGGAATAAAAACAGCCTTTATTGTGATAATAAACTTGTATGTTTGTGCTTGGGGACAAATGATTCTCTTTCCAAGGCTTTGTTTTCCTGTAGGAACAGTGTAGCCTCCTTGAGGAAGAATGTCTAATTTGTCTTTGTACCTTCCTCCCCAGGGGCTGGCACAGAGCCTTATGAGTGAGTAGAAGGATCCCCATCTATGTTTGTCTTCAAGGGTGCTCTGGCACCATCACCAGGATGTGGGAGTCAGAGTAGGCTACTGCTAAGTTACTGAAATTCTTCCCTAGGACGTTGCCAGCGGTGGAAAGGGGCCAGGCAAACCAATGCACGGCCTCTGCTCCTGGAAAACCCTGGCTCATTCTGAAGTCCCCAAAGAAGGTGGCTGTCATTCTGTAAAGATGGGGCCATTTGCGAAATGGGCAGGCTAAAACCAGGCCTAGGGTTGCAGGGCTGTTATTTGTTTGGAAAAATTCTGCACACATTAAAAATAATCCTAGTTCAGGAGCTCTTGGCTACCTCCTGGAGGCTTTTCCCTCCATCAGATTGCCAGTTTCTATCTTCTGTTGCTCCTTTTCTCTCACTTTCTGTTATCATTCTACTATTCAAATCATTAACCTCCCCCCCCATTCATTTCTACTCTGGTTTCCTACTTTCCATCTGCCAATATCTTAAAGACATTCTTTCTGATGCTATTCATTTAGGGATTATGTTTTCTGACTCTTTCCTGATTGGGTCTGATTCTTTAAGGTCCCCTCCACCCCCAGCAATCAGAGTTAAGTGACTTGCCTAAAGTCACTCAGCTAATAAGTGTCTGAGGACAGATTTAAATTCAAGTCCTCCTGACTCCAGGGCTGGTGCTCTATCCACTGCACCACTTAGCTGCCCCATTCCCTTCTTTTTTTGATGTGAAGCTTTTCTGTTTGGAAAAGCATTAATGAATGACCAGTGATCTGATGTTCTATTTCCCTCTGACATTTTCCCTGAAGAATCTTACCCTTTTCTCTTGTCCTTATAGATCATTACACTTGGTAAACGTTCTGCCTAATCTTTATTCCAACTGGTTGGAAGCAACTGCCCCAGAAACTGAATAGATTTGAAAGCACAGACCAAAATCTTGTTGGACAGAGAACTGATGACCTTAGAATGGTGAGAGCTCCTGGTGGCCCAAATGATTTGAAAACCCAGGATTCCCAAGATGGTCAATCACCGCCCCTCTCCCAAACCCTCCCTACAGCCCCAGCATGACCCACAAGTATAATACAATACTACAAAGATAATACGACACTGCCACACAACAACAGGAGTTTGCACACCATACAAAAGGGAGATCTGGGGAATTCAGTCACACGGCCAAAGAGCAGCCCCAGACTCGGTTGGTGCATTTTTCTCAAACCAAGCACCTGCTTCACATTTCAGCTTTATTAGTGGTAGAGGGGAGCTGGGGAGAATCCTCTTTCCCTTGCACAAACCCAGTCAGACACAGCAGGGGCCGAGGATGGAGTTAGGGGTATCGGCAGGGGATTTGGCATGTTAGTATGTTAAACGTGCAGAGAAGATGCAAACCCATGATGCCAATTTTTTAGTTAGCCCAGGCACTTTCAGGGGAGCTGGAATCAGAGGGAATCCCCCCACACAAAACAGGATTGCAGCCAAACACGGTTCCAAATGAGGACGGACGTCATGAGCATGAGAAGTAGCAGCAACTTAGGGAATGGCAAACACTACCTTCTAGGGCACATCCTCATGGAAACCACCTCAGACTCGTAGATGAGTATTTGGAGAAACCAAACTCCTGGTGTCTGTGTGCAGGACACCTTTTTGGGCAGGCTCACCTGTGGCTGCTCTAGGAATTGCAAAAGAAAAACCCCAACTCCTAATTCTGGGTTTAAATCAGGGAGGACCATCATCTATGACCTTTGTGATAAAAATGGACATCAGAGGATCTTAAAGATGAGAACTGGGAGGGACTTTAGAAGTTACCTAATACAACCATTTCGTTGGACAGATGAGGAGATTGACATCTCAGAGGTGAAGGGACATGTCCAAGGTCATGAGGACAGTAAGTGGCACAGCTGGGATTGGAACCCAGGTCTTTTGCCTCAAAACGCACGCTTTCCACCACACCAGGAGGAGAAAAGCCTGGCCTTTTATCTGAGGTGGCAAGGGAGAAAAGAAGAATGGAAGGATGAGTGAGAGAAAAAAAAGAGTAGAGTAGAGGGGGAAGGAGGAGAGAGAACACATTTCTTTGTGTTCCTGAAACTGTGCTCCAACCCAGAGGTTTAAAAATTCCCCCACCAGGTCTGAATCTGCATGTCTGGAAATAGAAACTTAAATTTTGTCAGCGCTATTTTCAGAAGTATGTATTCAGCTGAGTAAAAAGGAAAAGAAAATGGGGTTGCTTAGGATAGAATTCATAGAAGAGAAATTTGTTTTCTTCCTAGAAATTCATCAACTTTTTTTTTTATGACCCTACCTCTAAGAACACCCGGAAGCCTTTCTGATGTGGATTCTCTTTCTCTCATTAATTTGCTATAGAGTGGTTCCAACCATTGGATCCAGTTAAAGCACTGGGTTTATGTATTTTGCCTTAGGTCTGAGAAAACCATCACCACTCTACCGTCTGAGTAAAAGGAGAAAAGAGTGAGAGTGGTCTATCCCAGAAGTGCAAGGTCACAGTTTTGTCTAGGGTCTCCAAAAGCCTGGAGGTTGTCTTCAAAGAGGAAGGAACCAAGAGACAAACCCAGCCCAGAATCGGCTCTCGGGACTGGATGAAGAGGCGCGGACGTGGAAATCTGAAATTTGTGAAGCCCTGACGAACAGCAGGTGTGCAGAGAATTACAGCAACACACCTATGGAAGATCAGCATTCTCTGAAGTTTTGAAAACCAAAAAAGAAGCTGCGTCGTTCATTATACACTTTGCTAAGTTCTCCTTTTGGGAAAAAATGTTAATGAAAAGCAAAACCAAAATTAAGTCCAGAAAGTCTCAATATTAAAAACAGGGTGTTCCAAAAGGCTTAGCACAGATTAACTTATGTTAGTATGTTTATAAGTCTTGATTCCCTTTCATGGAGCTATAGCCAGGGGCAACCAAGACAATATTTATTTAGAATTACAAGAATTAACCTAGTTAACATCTGGCCTGTATTTACTACCCTACTCTTTTACAAAGGACTGAATAATTTACAGACCTATACAACCTTAGGTCTCCTCTGCTAATTACACATCACGGTGGAATGTAAGCTTCTTGAGGCCAGGGTTTGTCTGTTGCCCTTTTGTTTTTGAATATCTAGCACTCAGTACAGTGGCTGGCTCAGAGAGGTATTTATTAAACATTTGGTGATTAAAATATTTCTCATCAGACTCCATGGATTTAAAGGGGCCTTTACTAGTCAGACAAACCTATCTGCTTCAATCTGTCCTAATGGGTCCTCAGTGATTTAGGAAAATAGGGCATGGCTCATAGTGAAGAGGTGTCAAACTCCCCATAGCCTTAAAACACCTACAAAACTCTTGAATGTGGCTAGAACCAGATTAAAATGTAACTGGGAAATATTTAACAAAATAAATAAAAATACAATGCAGCATGTTGTTTAGTCTGACTCTTTGTGACCCCTTATGGGGTTTTCTTGGCAAAGATACTGGAGTGGTTTCTGCCATTTCCTTCTCTAGCCAATTAAGGCAAACAGAGGTTAAATGACTTTCCCAGGGTCACACAGCTAGTTAAGTGTCAGGCCAAATTTGAACTCAGGTCTTCCTGACTCCAGGCTCAGTGCTCTTTTATCCACTGAGACACCTGACTGCCTCACAATACAGCACAGATAATGTGATTTTCTAAGTCAATATGCTGCTTTGTTTGCAATGAGTTTGATACCACTGTATGCCATTTTTTTTTTATCCAGATCTGTTTCTTTGGATAGGGAGGGGAAGAGAAGGGAAAAAGCATTTATTAAATGCCTCCTATGGGCCAGGCACTGTACTAAGTACTTTACAAATAGTATTTCATTTGATCCAGGGAATTCCCAGTAAGGTGATTCCTTCTAACAATGCAGGTACCTCTTGCGAAGTATTATCTGCATTGAGAGATAAAGCGACTTGTTCAGGGTCACACAGCCAATATAAGTCAGAGCTGAGGTTTGAAACCCTTTTTCCTGTCTTTGAGATCAGCTCTCTGTCCACTAGGCAGTAGCTGCCTCTTACACTACATAGTTGTTTAATTTCTCTTTCTCCTTGTTTTTATACAGAACCTGGGAGCTATTTTTTCCAAGGGCATTTACACATACTAAAGGAAATCAATAAAAGAGGGAGAACTTTGCCTTAACAAGGCCTTAAATGGAATGAAAAATGATGGCACCCTAAAACGATAGGAAGATTTAATGTAAGCCATACAGCTCAACAAGTATTCACACGGTTCTTCTTATTGTACCAACTGTCAGATATAAAAGGGTGTGATTTGCTGTGACTAGCCTTGCATTATGTAACCCAGTCCTCAGCTTTCTTCATACCTGCTGTGGGTAAATGTAAAACCCCAGTAGGATTGTGCTAGGCCCACAGGGATGTGAATTTCATGTATTGAAGGAGGCAGAAATGCAGTCTTGTTTTTTTGTATGCAGGAATCACAGGCTGGTGGCCTCCTATAGTCCAATCCCCTCATTTTATAGATGGGGAAACTGAGGCCCAGGGAAATAAAAAAGCCAGGATTTGAATATTTCTCCTGACAATCATGTCTCCATATCCATACCTATGAATAGTAGTTTAAAAAAACTTCATTATTAGAAAAGGGATTAGTTGAACCATTTTCATTACCCTGTGTTGCAGAATCTAAAATGAATTATGGGACGAAAAATCTTACTTAGTTTTCTCTCTCTCAAAAAAGCCAAATTATTATTAAAATTACTATTATTTTAAAATATTGTTCTAAATGCAAAGGGAAAATGAATTTGGGGAACATTTTGCATATTGTAAGCTTCACATTCCTGAGTTAAAGAAGTTATGTAATAATGGCTGCAAGTAATTAAAAACCATAATTGTGTATTAACTTTTTTTAATGAAAGAGAAATGCAGGGTGTCTCCAAAGCATTATCAACACCCTTCTTCGATTAGGATTTAATTGATTTTTGTTTCTATAGAAGCTTTTCAATCTTTCTTCCCTGATTGATTTTGCTCCCCTACTCCCTGAGTTTCACCTGGCTCGTTATCAATTAGCCCATTTATTCCTGGCTCATTGTAGAAAAAGCCATGGAGCCTAATCCTAGCAGAACATTTTCACAGAAGCTGCAATTTTAAGGATTTTGCTTTCAACATTTCTAATAAACTTGGGTTGTCGCTCAAGCTATATACATGTAAACGAGACATACATGATGGTATTTATTTTGGGCAACCCTTGGGGCTTCAAAGAATGCTCTGTCTGGAGCTGCATATTTACTTAGATGTATTCTCATATACGCAGTGTAAATATAAGAAAATGTGTCCTATAAATGCCCCCAAATGTAGGCTCTCATAGCCAAAATATCATTTAGCAGTTTGGGGCCCATAGATTTAGAGCTGGAAGGGACCTTAGAGTTTATTGAGTCCAACTGCCCCATTTTACAGATGAGGAAACCGAAGCCCAGAGAGGTTAAGTGACTTGCCCTGTGTCACACACCTAGTAAATGTCTGAGTGTCAGGTCTTCCTGACTCTAAGTCTAGAGCTCTGTGCCACACTATACTCCTCAGTTGGTACTTTCCCTATCCACATAATTTGGTAATTATTTTGTTCATATCTGCATATATGCTGTCCCCCACTCCAAATAAGCAGGAATTGTTTCTTTTTCTTTTCTTTGTATCCTCAGATGCTTGATAAATACTTGTGGAATGTAATGTAATAGAATTCCTCATATGAGCCAGCCTTGGAAGGCTATTAAAAGGAGAGGGTCACTCCTCAACACTTAAAAGTGTCCCATAGTTCATTTAAGTTTTGGAGGGACTCCTGAAGTCCCTGTAGAGACACCATTTTCTTGGTTGTTTAGAAACACTAGCCAATTGTTAAATGCTAGCTACAAGGATATTACAGATCCCACAAGCCAATACCCTTCTCACCTGAAAAAACCATGCACTGAAAAAACCCAGTATCTTTTCAATACAGCACACTGAGAGAGGGCCTCCTTTGCTAATTAAATGCAGATTAGTGATTCTCAACCAGAATACTGAGGTAGCGTGAGGGTCCAAACTCTCTCTGGATGGCAAGTCTACTCATTCCATATTTCAAGGACCAATACTTTCATTGGTTCAGATACTCCTTTCTCTGAAGCTTATCATTGGCTTTCCATGTCTTAGTCAATTTCATGAGTTGCCATGGTCAGAAAAAAATCATAGGATCATAGATTTAGAGTTGAAAAGAAACTTGGAGGGCATTTGGTTCGCTTCATTTTTTACTGATGAGGAAACATGTCCAGAAAGTAACTTGCCCAAAGTCAAATGGGTAGTAAGTGGCAGAGGCAGTATTTGAACCTGGCTCTTCTGACTCACTATAGAGCCAGTGCTCTTCCTAGTGTGGACATCCAAACTCCTGGTGATGACAGGCTGAACTTGGCCAGGCTGGTCTTTGGACAATAGTCTGCTTGACAGGGTTGGATTCAATTGACTAGAGCAGGACCATAGTGGACCAAATTCTTCAGTAAAATTCCTCTGTAGAAAAAACTAGAAGGACTGAAAAATATTTTTAAATTAAAAATGAAAAGAATGGACAATGTTTGATTTTCTCCAAAACAAAATGGAACTCTCCCATATTATGAAAAAGTGAGTTTGAAAAGTTTTAATGTTATGAATTTTGGAGCAAAATGAGTAGAAATTTCACTGACCTTCTGATGGTCAAAGCCGCCATCAAATGAGAAAGGTTGAGAATTACTGTTTAGTTAGGAATTGGCACCTCTATGACATATGTTTCTGCTCTTAAACAAACTGCATGAAATTCACAGAGGTTGTCATGCAAATCATACTTTGATTAGGCTGGCTATAAGCAAAGAGCATAGGCCTCTGCACTAGGGCATATCAGACACAAGGGTGGTGGGGAGAAGGACACCTCACAGAGAGGGAAATAAATAGTAAAAGATGGGGAAGAAGTGGACATATGGCCATATTAGTTTAGTTTTTCCACCTTCCCTGCAAAAGCAAGTCAACACAGACATCAGGAATAGAGATCAAGACTGACATGGGGTGGGTTGTGACTGAAGACTTTAAAAGCTGAGTATACTCTGACTCTGGACATGATTTTTTCCACACGACAAATCATGAGGCATGATAAATGAAGGCACAGACAAAGAACCTCAGGTATCAGAAGACATTACAAACCATCTGGCACTTTCAGGACATAGCACCTGTTGATAACTGCTCACAACACTTGGCAAGACATCACACGGTGCAAATTGATAAAGAGAACATAACCGTTCATTGTCTTACATTATGAACCTGATGGATCGCTGAGAATGGAAATCCTGCATTCTGGTTCGTCCATATTTCACAGACAGACGACTGCTGATATAAACAGAAAACTATATCTTATCTTGAAAATATTTCAACATCGACAACTGCCCAAATGGACTCAAAGAGTATGCAAGGAAAATCAACAGAATGGTAAAGAATAACATTAAAAAAACCAACCTGTAAATGTTTTACATTTTTTGGGGGGTTTTAGTCATGAATTTCAAAGTCATTTTCTTTGCTAATGAAACTGATTTTCGACTGGTTGATTACATTTCAAACTAAGGGGGAAAAACCATGATCCTACCAGAGAGTAACAAAATTAATAACAGCTTTTGGAAAAGAAAACTGTTCTTTTCCCACATTTGCCGAATATATCGGCATGATATAAAGTATATATAAAAAAAGCCAAGAGCTATCATTAGCAATAGAGAAACAATGGAAGCTTTCTCAATAGAAACAGGTAAAAACAAGGATGCCTCCTGCAATCTGCTATTCTTTGACATAGTTATAGAAATACTGAGAGAGAAGTTAAAGTCACAAACATCAGCAAAGAGGAGATGTAGCCCTATTTGCAGGTAATTAGAAAACCTCAGAGAATTAGCAAAAAACCTAACAGATGATTAAAACCTTCAGTAAATAGCAAGATACAAAATAAATTTTTAAAAAATCATAAGCATTTCTATATAGCACAGACAAAATCAGGAGGAAAAGGTTGTACAAAAAATTCAATGCAAAGGGAGAAGTTGATTCTTTCTGGATGCTACTATCTCTTCCTATTGAAGACGAAGGAATTTACTTCCCCAATCCTGGTAACTGAATTTTTTTTCATGCTCCTCTCCCTCCATATCCCCATTTAAGGTTGTTTTTTTTTTCTTCCTCTTTGAAGCTTTAAAAAAACCTTCATAAAGATCAAAACTTTTTAATTCATCTGTCTTTAGTGATGGATCACAAGACAAAAAAAAAAAAGGAAGATTTTCCCATTAGTTATTGCTCCATTTTGGAAACATAGCATAGCTCTGCCATTAGAACAACCTGAGGAGAAACAAAGCGGTTTCTAGAGCTTCAAAGCCCACTCAATGGCTAGAGGTGTCTACGTATGTGAGAGAGAGAAGTTGGGAAGGGATAGTTGAGATTGGGAAGAACTCTCATTCCCTTCCCTATTGATCATAAGATCATGAATATGAAGTCAGAAAGAACCTGAGAGGTCACTGAATTTATACCCTGTCATTTTACAGATAGGAAACAGAAGCCCAGAGAGGTATGGTGATTTACCCAGGATCACATGGTTGTTGAGTGTAAGAGGGGCAATTACAATTCAGGTCTTCCAGACTCCAAATCTTGTATGCTATTTAGTGTACCACACTGCCTAAGCTTCCCACCATAGTTGGCCTTTGATTTCCATCTTAGCAAATCAAGTTGATGATATCTCTTTATCACCTCACCATATACTCATGCACCAAACCAACCCGAATGCCACACAGCAGGGAGAGGACTGAAAAAAAAAATGATCTGGCCTTTCTCTGGCACTCTCTTGCATCTTTACCAGTTTTGTCATTAAAATAAAAAAAAAGATCTCTTGAAAACCTAAAACATGGATGAGAACAGGTTTCATAGTTGCCAAGCAACTAAAAATTTGCTAAGCATCATAATAATCCACAGCATTCCTGCACAGACAGCAAGAAGAGGCTGGATAGGAGACAAGTAATGTAATCACAACATCCAGAGAGCTGGCAAAAAATAGCAATGTCAAAGTCTGCATCTAAGTGAAAACTACATAGAGTGAAGTGACAAGAAAAGCAAGGGCCAGAGCCATCACATCTGTTTCCAGAATAGCTAGTAGCATTCCCCTTCCCCTTTTGCAGTCTGCAATCTGAATGGCTTGCTGAGCGACAAGCTTACATTTCTGGAACTGGCAAAACAGATCAGTTTCCTGTGAACTGACCTTCCAGGTCCTTCCAGATGAGCTTCTGAGTAGTACCAACCTTCCATTCTCAATTATTTCCCTCTAAACTTTATGCTCTCTCTTTAGTTGGAAGAGGTTTTCTCCTTGCCCCCCCCTCCAATCCTCCAGTGAGTTGCGTCCTATATCTACAAAGCCTCTGGCAGTGGTTGATTCTAATACTCATCAGCTGTTTAAGAGGAAATGACTATGCATCACTGGAATTTTCATTGTAAATGAAAAAACCATTCTTTTGAAATAGGTTTGATTCAGTGCATCATCTTTTCTCTACAAAGTCCTCGTCTAATTCTTTCATGTAAACTGTACCTCCTTTATAGAGACATAGCACTCCGGAAGTGGAAAGGAAGTGGGAAAAAAACAACATCTAATCCAACCTCCTCATTTCATTAAGGAGGATACTGAGGTCCAGGATGTATAAGTGACTTGCCCAAAATCATACCATTAATGGCAGGGTTGGGACTATAATTAAAATGTAAAATGTAAAATGCAGCAGTGAAACAAGCAGGTGAGACTGTACAGGTGTGTCAATACTTTCCATCAGCATGAGCAACTCCTTCCACCGATGCCGACTGCAATTTGTCTATAATTTCTCTCTCCTTGATCCCATATATCCAGCCAGCTGCAAACTTCTGTTGATTCTTTCTCCACAGCATCTCTTGCACCCACCCCCTTCCTCTCTGTTCTCAAGGCCACCACCTTGGTTCAGGCTCTGATCACCTCTTCTTCACAGCAGTGGTGTCAAATTTAAATGGAAATGGGACCACAAAGTTATACATAAGGATCTCTGCAGGCCACCTATTGATCTCATTTTAAAATGTAATATTGTATTTTAATTGTATTTAATACAATATTAATTGTATTTAATACACTATTTCCCAATTATGTCTTCATCTGGTTTGGACCAATCTTGGGAGTGTTGTGGGCTGCACATGCTGGGAGGCCTGTGTTAGATTATTGTGATAGCCTCCTGATTGCTCTCTCCTTTACAGACTATTTTCCACAGAGCTGTCAAAGTGATTTTCCAAAACAAAGACCTGACCATGTTACTCCCCTGCTCAATAAACTTCACTGGTTCCCTGTTACCTCTTTCCTCTGTTTGGCATTCAAAGCCCTTACTTAGAACTCAGCCCCAACCTACTTTTCCAAGCCAATTACAGATGATTCCACAAAGCCAAATTGGCTTTCTCATTGTTCCTTGTACCTGGTGCTCTATCTCCCAACTCTGTGCCTTTGCATAGACAGTCCCCTATGCCTGGCACGCTTTGTCTCTTTAAAACTTAACTTGTGAGCCTCCTTCTACAAAAAATCCTTCTTGAACCTCCTAGCTGCTAGTGCTTTCCCATCCCCCAATGATCTTATATTTCTTTTTAAAATATTTCATTTATATCTATATATGTATACTTTATCTCCACTAATAATCTTTTTGAGTTAGTCAATCAATCAACTAGCATTTATTGAGCACCTACTATGTGCCAGGTATTGAGTACAGTAACTGTTTCATGTCTATTTTTTGTCCCTAGTTCCTGAGGCATATATCAAGTGCTTGAGGAACTTTTTGTAATGTATGAGAGAGTTGCCTGAGTCTCAGAGAAGTGAAGGGACTTGCCTAGGCTCTCACAGTAAGGGACAATGGGGAGAGTTGAACCCAGGTCTTCCTGACTCCAAATAGGAGGAGAAAAGGCAGTCAGGCAGACTTCATTATGAGATAATATTGATAAAGTACTTAGCATAGTACCTGGAATATAGTAGGTGCTTAATAAATGCTTCTTTCCTTCCTTCTCCTTTTCTCTCTCCTCCCCTTCATCCTTCTCTCCTCCCCTTTCATCTCATTCCCTCGACTCTTCTTTTCTCTCCCCTTCCCTGTTCCATTCTGTTCCCTTCCCTTCCCAATAAAGCAGGAAGTAAAATGCAGACTATTTACTAACTTAGAGTAACCATCCCACTAGGTAAATAAGCAATGTTAATGTTTCACTGTGTTTGAAATATGCCTAAATGCTAACTGTCCAAGGTCAATTTTCTGAGGCTGGTGGACCCAAAGGTATTGGGGAAGGCCTGCCACAGAGCTCATATCTTATCTCACATCCAAATCTATACTTTTGCTTTCATGGATCTCATTGGTATGGGTACAACCCTATGAAGACCACAGCAACAGCCCTCCAGGATATACAACCAAACAGCTAACCCCTGGCAATCTTTCAGATGCAGTTTTATAACCTTTTTGAATTGGTATTCAGTGTTCCAGGTCACTCAGTAGGGTCCCATTTTGTAAATTGTGGCTCCAGGGCAGCAATTCCCAGCACAAGTGATGATTTAGGTTCATTTCAAAAGCAGTAAAGCTTCAATAATGCCAAATAACTAGCTGGATGGTCAGCCTGAATGGAACTCGGAATTTAAAAGTATCTTTTAGAAGCTAGTTTATTATTATTTTTGAGTCAGATGGTTAAGTGTAGAGATCATCTGATCTAGACTGTTGCTTTTACAGATAAAGAAACGGAGACTTAGATAAGTGAGGATACTTGTCAGTTAGGGACAGAGCCTGGATGGGGATCCTTGTCTAAAGATTTTTTAAAAGTCCATATTTATGTTTTGCATGACTTTACATATAATTGGTAATATATTAATAAATTGATAAAAATATGATATTCATACCATATAATTGGTATCCTATTGCTTGCCTTCTTAATGGGTGGGGGAAGGGCTAGAGAGAGGGAGAGAATTTGGAACTCAAAATAAAAAAAGAATGTCAAATAAATGAACAAATACCAAATTTAAAAAAAAGAATTTTAAAAAGTCCATATTTAACTGTCAGGCTCTCAGATTACCAAGAGTAAATTTAGATAGTAATAAAAACAACAATTTGCATTTCTATAGTGTTTTAGGGTTTGCAGATTGGAGGTTTTCCCCAACTGTAAATTTATTTTATTTTTATTCTTTAGGGAGTTGAAGTGTTACTGTACTCATATGCTACATACATTGCCTCTCAATTGGAGGGGTGTGTGTGTAGGGGGAAAGTAATAGATTCTAGTAAAAGGCATTAAGGTTTAGGACTCTGGAGTTGATGTCATTACTTTATTTTCATATGTTCTATCAG